AACTTATTATTAATATTAATATTATTATTATTATTAGTAGTACTACAACAACAACTACAACTACTACCACTACCACTATTATTATTATCATTATTTTCAATTTACTTGTTTCTTACTGTTTCGTGGCGCCAAAAATTAAAGAAAAAAAATTTTTTTCTTCTTTTTCAAAATCGTAACTTTAGAACGATCATCTTAGGAATCCATGTTTGTTTGTTTGTTTGTTTGTTTGTTCGACACACGCGAATATATAAATTTCAATTTTATTTTTTATCCAAACGAAAACGTACAATGTTAAAATATTGTTTTATTATCGAACGGCAAGACCGACCGAAAAAACGAACGTACAAACGTCCTCGTTAATTTTTCAAAAAAAAAAAAAAAAAAAACGTGGCACCAAAAACCGGCACGGAAGGAAGTGAAGAAAGAAACGACGAAACCGAAATTCGTGTCGTAAAAAAAAAAAAAAAATTGTAAAGAACGAATTCATCAAGGTAAACCGATTCCTCAAAAAAAAAAAAAAAAAAATGAACCGGGGGTTAACATGGAATATTCTAGAACTCGATATCAAACAATTGACCGACCGGCCGAGTAACAACTGATTCACACACACACACACGCACGCACGCACACACGCACACACGCACACATAAAATAGGGTAGGAGAAGATATAATAATAAAAAATTGGGGTTGTCGAACGAGGAGGAACCCTCTTTTTTTTTCTCTCTCTCTCTCTTTTCCTCTACCTCTCCTTCTCTCTGTCTCTCTCCCATTTTTTTCCTTTATTATTTTTCGCCTCGTTTTCGTACGTATATTTAAAAATGGGTAAAGAGGTTATCGTTTAATAAACAATGACGACATCTACAGGACGTAAAATTATGTAATATCGATCGATTTTTAAACGATTATCGAATGTGTGTGTGTGAGAGAGAGAGTAAGAGAGAGAGAGAGAGAGAGAGAAACAAACAAACGCGATTCGCGTACGTCACATCCGGCACGACGATGCGGGGAAAAAGGAAAAGAAAAAGAAAAGCGATTTACCTAAGAGATTTGAAATAAAAACGGTCGTGTCAAAAGAAAAACGCGCGAAAAAAAAAAAAATAATAATAATGTTGGTTAAAAAAAAAAGAAGCAAATTGGGTTAGTGGGTTATTACGATTTGAATCGAGTTTTTTTTTTTTTTTTTTTTTTTTCACAATCGCGCGTCAACTTTTTCATTTTTTCATATCTTCTTTTGACACGTCGTTTTTCCCTCCTCCTTCTTCTTCTCCCCTCGCCCCTTCACCCGTTTCTCTCTATATTTTTTAACCACTACCACTTCCCCGATCACGTTAGACATTTAAAAAAATAATTATAAAAAAAAACGTCGTCGTTTGAAGCGTGATGTTTGTTTCTCTCACTCCTGCCACTTCCTTCCTACTCCCCCCACACTTCTTTCTACTTCCTCCTCCCTCCCTCCCTCCCCACAAAAAAAAAATAAAATAAAAATAAAATAAACGACAGTGAATGAAAAAAATAAAAATAAAAAAAAATTGAAAGTCATTCGACGTCATCGATTATAAGAAAACATTATTATTAATAATAATAATAATTAAAAATTCTAACAACGTAAAATATAAAAAATTATTATTATTATTATTATTATTATTACGAAACGGATTTTTTTTTTTAAATAAAAATGGCGGTCAGAGCGGTTAGTGATAACACATAATCCCACCATTACTTTTCGACATTTCAAGGCTAATCTTTTTAAGATTAATTAAACATTTTTAAATTATGCATGACTTTGTCGAATATTGCTTCGAGCGCTTATTGCTTACAGGTGCAGAAAAACAAAAAAAAAAAACAACAAACAAACAAACAAACAACAAACAAAAAACAAAAAAAAAAACGATTAGAAAAATCGTCGCGAATGATTATTATTATTATTATTATTATTTTTCATTTATTTATACAAAAGTCTTTTCCGGAAAGGGAGAAGAAGAACGATGGCGATGAAAAAATCGCGAATCGAATTTCGATCAACTTCCGGTTGATGACGTAACAAACCGCGAAATATTTTTTTTGAATTATTCGCCATCTTTGTCTCGTTTCGCGGAGACGAATTTACGAGAAATAAAAATAATCGAAACCCCGATATCGTCAAACCGAAGAGTGTAAACAAAAAAAAAAAAAAAAAAAATGGCGTAAAATGACGTACCGTTAGAAAAACGAAAGAAAAACGTACAAAAAAGAGAACTACACCGTACGTCGACTTCCGGTTTACGAACCAGGTGAGAAAACATTTCCCGTAAGGAAATGTCGTAATTAATCATATTTTTATCAATCAATCAATCAACTTTTCTTTTTTTTTTGGTGGGGGGGAACGCACGAAAGGTGGTAACCGGAAACGGTCATAAAGTCATCGAACTTTTATTTCCTATTCATTCCTTTTCCTACCCTAATTTTCCGATACGCAAACTTAAAGTCGTGGTTTTAACGAAAAAAGGGAGGGGATGAAAAAATTCATTTTTTCGCCTTCATTGTTGTTGTTGTTGAGTTTACGAAAAAAAACGACAGATTGCGCTATTGGGAAAAAAAACCCGTAAATGACAAAAATGGGGGTTGGTTAGAGAAAGAGAAGAAGGTATTATTACCACTACTACAAAATTAAACTTCCGGTTGTTTTTTTTTGTTTTTTTATTAAAAAAAAAGGCTTAACGATTTTTAATTTAGTTAAAATTGAATTTTAATTAATTATTAACCGATAAGTTAAAATGAAAAAAAAAAAAAAAAAAAATGAAACGAACCGTAAATAAATTACCCCAATTTCTATGCTCTCATTTTGATTTGCAAACAAGGAAAAAATTCCTTAATAGAACCTGATGGGAAAAAGAGAGAGAGAGAGAGAGAGAGAGAGAGAGAGAGAGAGAGTGAGAGAGTCAAAGGAGGAAAGAAATTCTTTTTCTTTTCCTTTTTTTTCCTTTTTCCTCTTCTTCCTCCGAGTCTTCTTTTTTGATTTCTATTCCGCGTCCGTGATTCGAATCGTTAATCGATATAATTAATAAATACGAATGATTAATGAATTTAAAGCAGAAGAAAAAATATAAAATTTTTTTTTTAATTAAAAAAAAAAAAAAAAAAACTTTTACAAAGTGAAAAGTTAAAAAGATATTTCAAATATTTGCTTTCCATCAATAACAACAACAACAACCTTCCATCACGCGGTAAAAATAAAATCGTCGATTTTGAACGTCAACGAAACAAATTTATTTATTTTTATTAAATATTATTTTCCACCATTTTGTTTTTTGTTTTTTTTTTTTTTTTTTTTTGTTCAGTTTTAAAAAAAAAAAGAAAGAATTTCATCGTCGTTATGATGTAAAGGAAAAAAACACGAGAGAAAGAGAGAGAGAGAGAAAAATGGAAGGGAGGAGGTAAACATTAATAACAACGAAAACAAAAAAATTAAAATTAAAACGTGGCAGCAGCTGAACATCAAAGCGAATCTCCCCATTTTATTCATCAAAGTCGGCTCCCCAAAACTACTTTCTATATGCGCGTCTTAACCTCGCATTTAAAAAAAAAAAAAAAAAAAAAAAAAAAAAAATCGTGGAAGGAATTTACGTCGACGTCGACGACGACGCAAAAAAAAATTTTCTTTGTTCCCCTCCCTCTCTCCCCCCATTCCCTCCCCAACTGATTTTTTCCTTACAACTTTCACTCTTTCAATAACAACAACAACAACAACTAAAAAATGATAAACAAATTACTATTATTATTATTATTATAAGCTTATCAATTTGCTTCGTTGTGTGCGAGAACCCTTTAAAATTATGGAAAACAAAACAAACAATAATAATAATAATAATAATAATAATAAACTAATGATGAAAGAAAAACCAAACTAAAAATAGACAAACGAAAAAAATCCAAAGAAGAAAGAAAGAGAAAGAGAAAAAAACAAACAAACAAACAAACAGACGAGGATTAATAATCCAAAGAGATGCCCGTACAAACGTTTTATTATTATTATTATTATTATTATTATTTTTTCCTTTGAATAACACATCGCATAATAATAATAATAATAATAATAATTCGAATCAAAAACTGGAATATGAAGTGGGGGGGGAGGGAAAAGGGAGTTCGAACGGTGTCAGTGAACGACCTTGAAAACTAAAACATTGTCACGTTATTATCAATTCGTTCGAATATGACCGCGGTCGGACATATTTGAAAACAACACAAATCGCAATTCGATTATTTAAACAAAACAACCAAAAGCAGAAGAAAAAATTAATAATAATAATAATAATATGAGGCGGGTGACGTCACGAAAAAATTAAGAAAATTTATACGACGTTGGATAAAGTTCAATTCCGATGAAATTTATTTTTCTTAATGCGCGCGAAAAAAAGAGAAAAAATATGTAAATATTTTTTCTCCCCACCCCCCCCTCGTCGAAACAATATTTAAAATAAGTGACAGTATTTCCCGGGGGAAAGGGGGAAGAGGGGGACAGAATAAAAAAATGATGAAGTTGATGATGATGATGATGATGAAGGAAAACAAGAACCAACTACCGACGGTGACTGACACTCGTTAATATGAACGAACATTAAACCTGTTCCCCCGTTGGGGGACTCTTTCGAAGAAAAAGAAAAGGAAAATAAAAATTTTCCGAGGAGTTTTCCGAGTAAGGGTGCATACAATTATCATTTTATCATCAACCCCTCGAACATTGTTCGATTCAATAAATTTAAAAATGGAGAAAAAATAAAAAAAAAAATCCACGCGGGTGATTCCTCCTATCGACGGTTGAAATATTCAAACGGTTACGGATTTAGGTACCGCAATTACCGGGGGGGGGAGGGGGGAACGCGCGCGACTCGGTGAACGATCAAAAATAATAATAATAATAATAATTTTACCACACCGTCGTGTGTTAATGACATTATCGATAATAAATTCGCCACAGTTTTGGAAAAAAAAAAAAAAAAAAGTAAAAAAAAAAATTTTTTCACGCACGCGCACTAAACGCAGAAAATCCCTCCGTCCGCCCACTCGCCCCCCACCCCCACGAAACTTTTAATTCTCCAGCTTCTCTAATTTTTGAGCCTGTTTTGAAGAAATAAAGAGGAAAAAAAAAAAAAAAAAAAACTTGATAGAACTTTTCGAAATTTAGACATATTAAAAGAAAAATAGAGATTTTTAACTGTCACGCAAAACGTCACGCAACAAACTCCGTGACACACACACAACTACTCCGCGTTCGATTTGTTTCGAAACAAATAAGAAAAAAATTTTGTTTACTTTTTTTTTCGTGGCAATAAAATAACAGAATTCAAATTTTAAATTTTTTTTTTTAAAAAATCAATTTTCAAAATTTAAACGTGGGAGGAAAGGGGCGAGGGGGCGCGGAGCAAGGGAAAATATGAAAAAAAAAAAAAGCGCGCAAAAAAAAAGAAAAGAAAAAAAATTAAACTTACCGGGTCTTCTGGGAGTTGGTGGAGGCGGTGATAAAGCCGGTACAAGCTGTAAACAAAAAAAATTTTTTTCTTATTTTTAAAAAAAAGGAAGATGGAAAGGAAAAAAAAAATTTTCCTTTTTCTTCTTACCTTTGTCAAATCCGAACTGAAATTGAATCTTATATCAGTTTCTTTTCTAGGTGTAGCCGCTATCGGAGCCGCGATGGGTACAATTTCTTCCGTCATTTCCTAATTTAAAGAAAATAATAATAATAATGAGTTATTATTATAACATTATGGTTCCGCGAAGACGACCACTGGCCACCACACAAAATGCTCTCACCTTCAAAATGCTTTCGACTTCGTGGGGTGCCGGAGTTGCCGGTTCTTGTATGTCAACGGGACAGTCCAAAGCATCGTAGCGGGGCAAATTTCGAGCCGTCGGTTGGGAGACTCTGTTATTATTATTATTACTACTACCACCACGAACGGACTCCGAACTCTCCGAATAGTGGGAACTTGTTCGATTCGGCGGCCCTTTGGCTTGTATGACTGGATTCGATCTTTGATCGTTTTGTCCCCCGTGTTTGAGGGATTGTCCCGGATAACCGCCGCGGCCGCCGTAGGGAGGTTTTCCATCCTGCGGCTTTATGAATCCTCCCCGCGTCGCGCTCGGATGATGATTGCTTTGCTGCGGAGGTTTCTTAAACTCGGGCGGAGGAGGCTGGAGCCGAGACGAGGCACATGGATCCGAGACGGAAGCCGGAGCCGGACTGGGAGGGGGATGTGGTCCATCTACACCTATCAGTCGTTTAGGTTGTTCTAGGAACTGTCGCATCAATTGGAAGGGCCCCAAATGTTGCTGAATTTGTTGAGTCATAGGATCGCTCCTCTGTGACGGATTTACCTGTCATTCGAACAAATAAACGACAAAAAAAAAATTAATTTTTATACTAACGTTCGCTCTTTATTTATTATTATTATTATTATTATTTTTTCGAGTCTAATAAAAATTCAAAGGAAATGTAAAACCAAAAAAAAAAAAAAAAAAAAAAAAAACTGGCCGGATTCCATCACACACACATTTATAAATTATTGCCTCCATTTATTTTTTTTTTTTTGTGTTTCAAAAAAAAAAAAAAAAAAAGATGTTTTCAAAAGATGGAAAAAAGAAATTGTAAAAGTGACAAAACAGTAAAACAAAAGAATTTCCCCCACACCCCCACCCCCACCTAAGCTTTTCTTCATCTTTCTTTAAACAATAATAATAATATTAATGATGATAATACGGTTTGTTATTTTTGGTAGGAAAACGTTACAATCGCACTTTCATCGCGGTCACGTCTCACCAACGAATTATAACCAACCAACCTCACGAATAATATTTACAATAGATCTACTTGCAACCAGGTAGGCAGGCAGGCAGGCAAACAGGCAGGAAGGTATCGGATAACCAAAACGAAAACAAACAAAGATGATCAGAAGCTATGAATGATTCCGATAACGGTCATCGTCGTTTGAAACCATTCGAAGGGACATATTGAAAAAAGAATCGGCGAAAATTTCGGGGAAGCAGAAAGAATAAAAGAAAAAAAAACTCATTAATCGAAATCAACAATTAAATCCGTATTTTCATTTCGAACAACAGCGTCTGTTGACACGATGACGTCAACGATCTCTTCTCTCAAAAACATCGTGACAATATTCCTTTTCGCGTAATCATTTTTATTTTTACACGTTTTATCGTTTAAAGAAAAAAAATAATAATAATAATAATTTCTTGTAATTAAACTCAATCGAACGTGTAAATAGAATAAAAAAAAAAAAAAACTGATAAAAAAAAAATCGATAATATTATATTATCGATTCAAGATTATTAACAATAACTAATCGATATTATTACAATCGAAACACAAAACGCAAAGAGAGAGAGAGGCGGGGGGAAACAAAATTAGGGGCTAACGAGAGAGAGAGAGAGAGAGAGAGAAAACTCAAATTACAATTTTGTTTAAAAAAAAAAAAAATTAGGTACGCACATCACAAAAAAAAAAAAAAAAAAAAAAACTGTCAACGAACTTGATTCAACTTTGGTTTCCAAGGTTTCCCCCCCCCCCGTACGTTTATGCCAGATTTATAAAGAAGGAAAAAATAAAAAAAAAAATACATCGAGAATGAAAAAGGAATTATTATTATTATTATTATTATTTCGTTTTCCTTTGTTTTGTTTTCAAATTCAAAAATTGTTTGGTTCTCAAAGGTCACTCTAAAAGACGAGAAAGAGAGAGAGAGAGAGAGAGAGAGAGAGAGAGAGAATCATAGAGTAAAAAAAAAAAAAAAACACCCCGATATCGACGACCATTGTTATTTTGGTAGAATTGTTTTTCCTTTTTTTTTAAAAAAAAAAAAATAATAATAATAATAATTCGTAGCGTACACTTTCTATCTCTCTTTCCCTTCCTCCCTCTCACTCTCTCTCTCTCTCTCTTTCCTCCTTCTTTTTTTCCTTTTTTTTATTTATTTATTTTTTTTTTTTTTTAACCCAAAGTATTTTCACTCCGTAATGCTTCGTAGAAGCCATAAATCAATATTATGAGGAGTCATGGAAAGGGAAGGAAGGGAGAAAGAGAGAAAGAGACAAGGGGGGGGGGTGAAAGAGAGAGGGAAGTAAAAAGAGAGAGATAGAAAAACGGGGGGGGGAACCAAAAATTAAATTTCGTGACAGCGACCATTGATGATGGTTTGTTGACGAATTTACAATTCCCATCGACCGACCGACCGACCTCCTTTTTATTATTTCCCTTCATTTTATTTCATTTTATTTTATATTCGTCTCATTACTTTTCAATTTAATATTTCTTCTCATCACCTTCGTAATTATTTTAAATAAAAAAAAAAAAAAAAAAACGAACGCTCGTCGACGCGTTCGCTCGTTCATCGAAAGAATTCGAAAAAAACTCATTTGTTTTTGTTTTGTCGTAATTTAAATTTAACAACAACACCTGACACGAAAAAATTATCTTTTTTTTTCCTCATGTTCTTCGATAAATAATAATGATGATAATAATAATAATAATAATAATAATAATAATAATAATAATAATAATAATAATAATAATAAAGCCAACGGCCATAGCGTGCTGGTCACACCGGTTCCCGTACGATCACCGAAGTTAAGCAGCATCGGGCGTGGTGCAAACTTGGATGGGTGACCGTTTGAGAACGCCACGTGCTGTTGGCTTAAAAAGAGCAAAAAAATGAGAACAAGACAAAGTAAGAACCAAAAACAAAATCTTGTTCTACTGTCGACCTGAGGCAGCTCGACGAGAACGTGAATTTCACTGCTTCTGACCCTGGCCACTCCAAAGATGTTAGTCACCGGAGCCCAGTTCAGGAGACAAATCGTTCCCATCGAAAAAGACGGACTCAGGAAGACCTTCAAGAATTGATGTGGTGCTATCTTATAATAAGTGGCACCACCGAAATTCGAGTATTTGTCCCTAAGGAATCGGGTAGAAACCTCGGATAAATACTTAAAAACTCCGACAAGTAGCCTTGTCGTGTTTAATGGTGAATAATAATAATAAATCGAACGGCAAAATTGAAATTTCATGCGAAAAAACAAAAAAACGTCGTCGTCGTCGTCGTCTGTTCCGTAAGCGAATAATAATAATAATAAAAAGAATTTCTTTAATTTTTTTTCTTTTATTTGTCGTTTCTTACTTGAAACAAACGACGACAGACAACGACAAACACCCCCCCCCTATCTCTCTCTCTCTCTCTCTCTCTCTAACCAACGGCTAAACTAAAAGAAATAATCAAAATTTGCCCTTTTTTGCTGCTGTTGTTGTTCTTCTAACGGTAAATTATTGTAAATAAATATTTGTTGTGTGAACGGGAAAGAAATACGCGCGTAAGATATCATCTAGAAGGAGGAGGAGATGGGGTGAAGGTGGGGAGGGGGCGAGAAGAAAAAAACGTTCGATAAAAAATTATTTATCCTTTACAAACGATTCGTATGATTTTGAACGCGTTTAAGCCAAACAAAGGCTGGACGTTCGCCAGAGGCTGGTTGCCGCGCGACTTTTCTGGCAAAAAAGACGACGACGACGACGATGACGTCGACCATAGCAATAATAATAATAATAATACATAAAAGAAAGAAATTAAAAAAAAAAAAAAAAAAAACTAACCACGCCATTGTAATTCCTTTTTAATTGGACTTAATTATACAATTTGTTGAAATCTTGTCAAAAACGTGTAATTGTTATAATAAAGCCTTCGACATAATAATAATAATAATAATGGCAACAACCACAACAAATATTTTTTTAAGTAATCGTTTCCGAATCGATATCGAATCGATCGATCAATTTTTTTTTTATTTCCCCGTAGGCATACACGAGTTGTCGTAATCGAAAATCGTTCGATTTCGATCGAAAACGTCACCGAAAGACTCTACGAAAAAAAAGGAAAAGAAGTCGACATCATCAAGGTAGGAGGTATTTGAGTTTAGGGTAGAGGAATCGAAAGGTGAAAAGGTTTAAATGCCACCACCTTGCTTCGAGTTCTCTCCCATTATTATTCCCACGACCACGAGAAAAAGGGGAAGAAAGAAAGACAGAAAGAAAAAAAAAACAAAAGGTAGGTTGATAGGTGGGTAGTAAGGAAGGAAGGATCCTACCTACCTACCTACTTACCTACCTACCGTTTTGTGATCCCTTTTTGAAATTATTTTTTCAATGAAAACCAATTACACGAAATAAAAAAAAAAAAAAAAAGGGTTGGAAAAGAAAAAAAAACATGAACGGACGACGGCAGTTGCCGAGTGTGCGTGATCGTGGACAAAAAAAAAAAATTTATTATAAAAAGAGAGAGAAAGAGAGAAAGAGAGAGAGAGAGAGAGAGAGAGAGAGAGAGAGAGAGAGAGAGGAAGAAAAGGTCAAAAAAGATGTAAGGAATAAAATAAAGTGAAATAAATAAGAAAAAATGGAGACAAAACGACAACACAAAATTTTTTTAAAAAATGGATTTAAGAGTTTTGTTATTATTATTATTATTTTGCGTCACGCGGAAACACGCGAGACTTCCTCGCCTCTGTTTTCCCGGAAAAATGACGAACAGGTTTAAAAGTTTTGATTTTTTGTTGACGACTTACCCTCACGGGAGCATCGAAAAGCGGGTTGACTTCAACCATTTCCCGTTTATCAGCTTGTGATGACATTTGCGCACGAGCTTGACGCTCTCTCTCGCGGAGTCTGTCACGCTCCACACTGAAACAATTAAATAACAAAAAATTATTTATCGTATCGATTTGTTTACTTATTCTCGCGTGGTCAAATATCGGTCACGTGTACACGCACGCACACACGCATCCACTCACGCGCGCACACACACACGACAAAACAATAATTCCAAAAAAATATATTTTATGAAAACATACAAACACTGCGTGAATCACAAAATCATAAAAATAAATAAATAATAATAATAATGATGATGATGATGATGATAATATAAATGCAAAATTTTTTGTTTTTATTTTAAATCACGAAACAATTTCTTTCTCTCTGTCTCTCTCTCTCCCCCTTCCCTCCCTTCTTCTCCCTCTCTCTCTTTTCTTATTTTCGTATTAATTCCTACGTGAAACATTTTATTAAAACTTATTATTATTATTATTATTTACAAATATTTCCTCGAAGTGAAATTTTAAATTCCATTACGACGACGATAATAATAATAATTCTTTAGCGTCACGCAGCAAAAAAAAAAAAAAAATCTGAAAAACAATAAAACGTGACGCGGAATTGTGTGTCGCGCGTGTCGACGTGAAAATAATGAAAAATCGTAGTAGTAATATTTACGTTCGATTTGAAAAAAAAA